TATTCTCATCAACTAACCTTCAATAACCAGCTGCTCCCTGTGCCCTACACTGCCTCCTCCTGGAGGACACCTGCAACTACACCTGCCAACCACACTACTTCTCAGGAGGTGGGTGGTGTCAGTTAAAAGCCACAAACTACGGTAAGTGGCTTCAATCAAACTGTCATTGACGAACAAAACCATAACAAACGTCACGCTTTTATCAGTGTTTTCATCTTTATAGTTTTATGCTACAGAAATGTGGTGGCACTGAAACAAACTAGCTCCCATATTGACTTAGGGGGTTGTTCAAATAATCAGCAGATAGTGATATAAACCATGTACACGTACAATTGTAAGCATATTTATTATCACCTTTTCTCATGTTTAAACCCCAAATAGAGATGTTTAGATTAGTTCCCAGCAGCTAAGTTACATATCAGAATGTTACAACCCTGATCCATGATTTTAGGGTCTGTCCTATAGTTGTGAAAGAATTACAGATTTTAAAATGGTTCGTTTGTGGACCAAAATCTCAAGGATGTCCTCAGTTGCTCAGGAAGTGTTGCCTCACATCTAGACTTGTGCAACATGCGAACAGTACAGGATTTTGGAATAACTCGAGTGGCTTCAAAGTCATAAATGTTCCTGTCTGAAATCATTTTACCAGCCTTTACTATATTTCTAAACCTAACTGCTATGTTGAGGTGGGCATTTACCACACAGGGTGTTTCCCAGATTCACAGAGGGTCATATTCATATTTTAAAATGACAGACAGGTGACATTTGTGGTCAACTACCAACTATTCCTGTAACAGCACATAGGCTGTCAGTATTAGTTTGAAACCAAACTCTTTATCTGTATCTAAGGGGGTTAAAATAACTTAATATCAGCATAATATTTAAAACTGTAGATGTATATCTCCTGGTTATAGCTTGCAATTGCTGACTTAATCAAAACTGCGACACAAAAAAAAAACTTTTTACAGACTGGACTTTACACCTCTGCTGCAAGTGACTCATAGGTGGCCTTTGTTTTGAAGCGAATACTGTGTTCAGTATAATTAAATTCACAATACGTGCATCAGTGTTATTTTTACAGTCATCAGCGTCTACACGATTCTTCACTTTCCCTCAATATTTCGGTGCTTATTAGAAACCTCCCACGGTCATTTCCAAGGAAGGGAGACCACAAATGAGGGCATCTCAGTTTGCTATCTAAATAACTGGCCCTTCAGGGGGTTTTCCAACTAAGTGAGGCCCTAAAGAAGGAGAAGAAGAGACTACTATTGACAGTACTTGCTTATATTAATTGAAACTGTACTTATCAGCTGTCACTTCTACTAAATTTTCTCAGGATGGACGCTGTGTGAGAAACTGTGTTAAGCTTTAAATTCGGTTTAGTAAGCTGCTATTGAACGTGTTTTGTGAGGCCTTGCAGCTGCTGAGAGCTCGACTGAGCACGTGAATTAAATGAGAGCAAAAAGCTTTCTTTGTTTTGATAATCTGGAAATGAAATAGTCCAGAAATGCGCCTGAAAAACATCACAATTTAAGGTCCAGTGTGAAGGATTTCGAGGAATATCTTGGCAGAAATTGAATAAAATCTAATAACCATGTTTTATTTTGTGTATAATCACTTCAAATAAGAATTGTTGTGGTTTTTGTTGACTTAGAATGAGCTGTTTATTGTTACATAGGGAGCAGGTCCTCGTCCATGGAGATCACCATGTTTCACCACCGTGTGTCTACAGTAGCCCAAAATGGACAAACCAAACACAAGTTCTAGATTGAGCTATTCATGTTTTTGTGATGTAGTTATCAGCCTCTCCGCAATGACAGCGCTGGAAAAACACTGTTTTTTTTAGCGTGAAACTGCTTATTCAGTGTTTTTACTGGTTTAAATCCATGGGTACATTTGTTTTGGAGAGAAAGAGACCTCTGTGGATGATTTGGCTCCCAGTAAAAACCACCAGAACAATGAACACTGATGGAATTCTAACCAGGAGAAGAGAGTCCTCACTGCTAGATACCATTAACTAAAGCCCTCTAAATCTTACCCACTAGACCTTTAAAATTACAAAAAAAAACTATTCTCCCCTACATATATTGACCACATCATAATCCATGTAACATTTAAATAAATTTAAAAGGGCAGTCTGCAGAATTTAGTGACATCTAGGTAAAGATTGTCGATTACAAAGCTGAAACTTACCCATGTGCCAAGGGTGAACTCCCAGTTAGAATTCCTTCAACGTTCATTGTTCAGTGTGTTTTTACTAGAAGCTGAATTATCCACAGAGGTCTTTTCTTCTCTAAAACAAATGGACCAGGTGTTTTAAACTGATAAAAACACTGAATAAAGCAGTTTCACGTTACAAATCAGTGTTTCTCTGATGCTGTTCTACTCATCACAGATGGGCTGCTAGCCCAGTACTTACTAACGTGTGCTCACCTTTTTTCTCTGATAACTTAAGGTCCAGACGTTCAGGAGGTTTTTAACCAGTAGCCAAATTATTCGCAGAGGTCTCTTCCTCTCCAAAATAAACAGACCTGCTGATTTAAACTTTTAAAAACACTGAACAAAGGCCATCAGCTACCAGCGTTAGCTAGCATTCTAACGTTAGCAAGCCTTTCAGTTTCCCAGGATCGTACCTGGATAAACAGGGACCAATTTAAACTTGTATTATTTTACATAAATAAAGAACACATTTCTTGCGGTGGCCTTTCTAAAATGAGCACTGATGAAAGTTACTATATTCTGACAGAGGAGTTAATAAGCAGACAGTGTTAGCTAGCTAGCATGCTAGCCAAAAAAATCAAAACTAACTGAGGGCAAAAAATGTTTCCCACTAAACCCTTGAATGTTAAAATGACTCATGGCAATTGGTTAAGAAATGTAAATGTTATAGTTAATTTCTTGGGGTGGCCCTTATAAAATGAGCACTGGTGAAAATTACTATATTCTGCTTTGATCAATAAGCAGATTGTGGTAGCTAGCTAGCATGCTAGCTAGTTGAAAACTGGTCCACTTCCACATTAAATCCTATCGTATAGCGACACTTCCACAAGTATTAACCAAGGATAATAAGTCAAGTTCATGCTTGACAAACATGAGTTTACATAATTTCTTATGATAAGTAATTCAGTTTACATAACCCAAACAAAAACTCCTCTTATGAGCGTCCAGTGGTTATTGTTGCCAAAAAATAAGAGACTCGACTAGAGACAAAACTCTTTTTCCCACTATTTGTGGATCATAAACCTTTGACTGTTGAAACGACTCATGGTAATCAGTTAGGAAATGTGAACGTTATAGGATTTTGAACCAGAAAAACCACAGCGCCCCTTTTACCTTCATTTGTTTACAGGCAAGTCTATCACCATGGCAGTGCCTTTGACGTAGGATTCAGCGGCCAATGAGGCATCTATAGTCTATCTCTGCCGCTCTCTATGTGGATATAATCGGTTCATTCTAAGGTAGCGAAAACACTAGTATTCTTATTTTCAGGTGATTACATGCTAAAGAAAACAAGCTTATTATATTCTATTTCTGCCAGTATATGCCCCTATATCCTACACACCGCACCTTTAAACACATTTTCTGAGTATGTCAGGACTTGCCATATCCCCACTGCCTTAAGATCATTTAAGGCTTAGAATTAAGCTCAGTAGAGAAACTGGGCTGCACTAAAGCCGTAGATTTGTTATTTTTCTATATTTGTGCTGTATTGTGTCTGTGTCCTTGTTAAAGCAGAATTTGACTAATCAGCTTTCCTCCTCTTTCTTTTCTTTTTTACAGTTCTCAACTCTTTTGGACAGCGTTAAATGCCAAGTATTAGAAATGTCTGGCCGTGCCCAAGCTCTTCAAAATTCCTGTGATGGTAGAACATGTTTTTGTGTGGGAGGGCTGTTCTGCCAAGCAAAGCTGTTTTGGTCCCGATTCTTTCTTTTTTTTTTTTTCTCACAAGAAAATCTTGTTCCTGCATCACCAAATGCTACCTCGTGATGGGGGTAAACAAGAAAATAATACAAGGAGTCACATATGCGGCTTCGCAGTCCACCCTGGTGCTTCAATGCAGATCTCGTTGGACGTTAAAGCTGCAGCATGTGTCATGTCACACCCCCTGTGTACATTCAGTGAATAATTAACCTCCTCAACCTGTACATTTTCTGGAAGATTCCCCCACACTGACTTCAGCATCTTCACAGCTAGTCATTTAGAGTAAAATAGATTGAGGGAATTCTAGGTGGGGTTTAGGGGAGCTCCGGGCCCTCGACGCGGCCTCATGTTGTCGCAGCTGGCATGTGGCGAGCAATGAGCGTGGTTCTGGAAATCACCATGAAGTGTGTGTAAATGTGCACAAAGCAGTCATCCATGTGGAGTTTTAGGATGCGCTGTCTCTTGAGGATTTGGTCGAAACGTATCGTGTGCGGCGGCTAAAAAAAGAGGAAGCGGGAATGCCCATGATGGCTGTTTAACACACTTACCAAACCCGCCACACACACACACACACACACACACACACACACACACACACACACACAAACACACGCATAATCACAAGTAAAGAAAAGGTTGCAGCAAGGTTAATATCATGTCTTTTAGTGGTAAGTTTTTCTTCCATTTTGGTTTTTCTGCCACCAAATATTAACTCCTAAACAATATTATTATTTTTTAACAAGTAGTGTCGTCGGTAAAGGACTTGGAACTTGTTTTGAAACCGTTAACATCCACTCATATTTACTGAAATTGTAATTTAAACCCCTCCACTATGTTATTTTTCTGGAGTTTACAAGATTACCTTATGTGCTTTAACTTTCCATCAGACATGTGACTTCCAGTCTAATGCAACTTACCCAGATTCTTACCAGAAGCCACATCAGATACAGCTAATTAGGCAGACACCGAGTCTCACTGTGTGTGTGTGTGTGTGTGTGTGTGTGTGAGAGAGAGAGAGAGAGAGAGAGAGAGAGAGAGAGAGAGAGAGAGAGAGCGCGAGAGCGAGAGATAAAGGAAGAGAGCATGAGCAAGAGAGTGAAAGAGAAGGAGGAGTGACAGAAAGGAAAAGAAAAGAGGGAAGAAAGAGACTCATTAAGCCAAGTTCCTCTCAGCACTCGTTCTGGTACATAGACTCTCTCTCTGACGTTCTTTCTCTCTATCTCTCTCTCACACACACACCACACACACAAACTCAAAAACACAAAGCAGAAGTGGACAAAGACACACGGTTTCAGTCGCCACGGTTGGCTATGGCTCAGGGCTCTGACAGCAATGACACAAGTTACAAGTCCCCATCACCTGGCAGCAGGCCGGTAAGTGTGCTCTTCCACTCTTGACAATGTGCTTGTTTACATCCTTGTTACACTGACGATCTATAGATTCACAAATCCTGTGAAATTAACGGTACATATTCTTCCTAAATCTGTGATTGGATGCAGTGTTTGATGCATATTCAGTGGGCAGCAGCACAGCCTATCAACGAGACACTAGTTCTGTCTCTGTTGGCTCTTTTCACAGCTTCTCCAGAAGTGTTTCACATGCACACATGGGCTGCAGGCATGACTCGCTTCAAGTGTAGGCTTTTGTGAATTGCAAAAAAATGTATCACTTGTCCAAGTTGTGGGAATCCTTTGTTTTTTAGCAAGTCCCTCAGAGCTGTCAGGAACAGACAGCGTGTTAAACACAGTGTGTGCTGTACGTTTCCCTGCATGTGAGGCTTGCTGCACATGTGCCAGTCCCTTTGCACACTGTTGCTCATTTTCTTGCTCTCATGTGGAAATAAATGCTGTTTTTATAATGTTTTTATACATTAAATGTTACATGTTACATGTTTTTATACATGTGACAATCTGGGAGCCTCACTGCATGTGGATAAAGCAATCTCCAGCAGCAGCAGTTACTTTGCGGTCTTTCAGCAGTGCGTTAACGGACAGTTCAGAAGACGTTAGATAATGAATTTGTTGATGTACAACTGACTCAGCGTTTTCAAATGGATTACTTATTATGATACCAAGAAAATCGAGTGTTCAGGACATGAAACAGGGTGTGCGTTATACCTAACTGATGACTCAGCCACTCCCAGACCCTGCCCTTCAATGTTAGGTGTAAAGTTAAACCCATCTTCTGTCAAACTGTCACTGAAACAGACCATGGTTCCATTTCACACATAAACCCACCGTTGACATAATCTACAACAGTCTGAGCATCGCTTTACCAGGGTCAGGAACATCTCTGTGCCCACCTGTTTGGTGTTTGTGTCACTGCACTCACACTAACTGTTTGTGTTTTGTCAGAGCTCCTCAGATGATGCGAAGAAGGTGATCCGGCGAGAGAAGAACCGGATCGCTGCTCAGAAGAGCAGGATGAGGCAAACCCAGAAAGCTGACAGCCTCCACTTGGTGAGGGAACCATACACACATACCAGAAGCAACATTTAACACTGACTTATACTTCTTAGGAGCCAAAGAGACACAAACTAAAAAGATGGAAGATTGTTCTAACCCCAAAAACTGTCATTTAGTTATAGCTTTATTGTACTGCAATGCTGGAGGTACACACTAAAGGATGTTCAGCAGATGTAGCATTGGTTAGGGCATCCTGCATGGAGTGATGGAGTGACGTTAGCACTGTTTAGCAGAGGGGGGACCAAGTCATTGTTTTGAAGGTCACATGGAAGTTTCAAGTCTTTGCATTCAAATTCTAAGTCAAGACCCAAGTCCTGAACTTGGAGTTTTGAGTCTTAAACAAGTCATAATTTGCTCCTCACCAGATGTAATACCAGTAACACTGAATTTAGATAGATAGATAGATAGATAGTACTTTATCGATCACCAAACTGGGAGATTCTTTCTTTATTTACAAAAACTACGAATGCTTTTCAAGATTTGCTTTGTTTGTTAAAAGCAGTTTGCTAAGCATTGGCTCACAATGTTAATATCAGGCGGCTGTGGCTCAGAAGGTAGAGCGGATCGTCCACTAATCGGACGATCCTCAGTTTCTTGAGTCCCCCCGTCAGAGTATCCTTGAGCAACATACTGAACCCCAAATTGCTCCCGATGGCTGTTCTGTTGGTGTTTGAATGTGTTAAAACCTGAGTAGCAGATGGCACCTTGTATGGTAGCCTGGGCCACCAGGGTGTGAAAGTTCGTGTGAATGTGACTCGTAGTGTAACAAGTGCTTTGAGTAGTCGGAAGAAGTGCAGGTCCATTTACAATTAGTCTTGACTTATTGTTCTTTGTGCAACTTCACACGTCAACCGAAGTTGGTAGTTGTTGCCTCTCCTTCTGTAACTTTCAACCCATACCTGTCGCATACTTCTATTCGTTTATTCAGTATCATTTATTCAAACTGGCGCTTAGAAATGTAAATTTAGTCCTTCATGGTTCTCTCCTGTAACTTCATTGGATGCTGTCGGACTGGTTCAAACAAAGCGTGGGAAATCAAGTGTCGACTTCCTGGGAATGAAAAGCGGTAACGTTAGCTCATTCAGGAAATGAAGTGATTCATTGCACACTAAGTATTTTAAGGTCAAAAGGCTCAAATCCGAGTGCAGCCATGAGCTATTGGTGTTAAGCTCCAAGTCAAGTTGCAAGTCTTTTTTGATTTTGTCAAGTCTAAAGTCACCAAATTTGTGACTCAAATCTGACTTGAGCTCAATTCATGTGACCTGAGTCCACACCTCTGCATTCTAGATTAAAGAACAGTTATGTCATCTCAATGTTTTTGCCGTAAATTATGATAAAATGGACCGATTGATAAGCAGCCTCTGGGAACTAGTTTGTACTATATTTACGAAACGCCACCTGACCATGTGGCGATGTGTCATGGCTTCTGTTGGGCTGTACACTTGGACGCTGCTCTGTGTGTTTGCAGAAGCTTAAGGAATAAATTAGCACGTGTGGGCAATCACTCCCTTTTTGCAGCAGATTCCAGCACCAGAGAGTGCAGCGCTGAATATGATAACAGAAGGGTGTACTGCTTTGTTTTGTTGCCCCCGTTATTCTTTTATGCAGCTCATTTCGTGTGATAGTTCTAGTCAGCGTTGTCTCAGGTTTAAGTTGTTTGACGTGAGATGTGTCGCTCATTCATTGACGAAAGGCTTATCAAAGACCTTCGACATTTCGTCATCTGGATTTCTTTACAAATCTTCAATGATCTTTAAATCTACGAACACAGTGGCTTCTCTGGTAATGATGCTATTATCATACGGATCCTTTATACCCTGAAATAACTCTACATGCTGTCACATCTTACATCAGCACACATTTCGACACATTGACCACATATCTACTATCTGTGTGACTTCCTTGTGCGAGCTGAGATGATCTATGCTGCACTGTACTCCTGCTCAGAGCAGCTGTTTCTGTGAACTTTATCAAATAAACTGAGGAGATAGTGACCTTCAGAAAAGCCAAACTGTAGGCAGTAGTAGATCCAGAGATTTGAATACATTCCTGTGAAACTTGGTGTGTGTTATCAATGTCTTTAATGCCTGTCAGAGTCACAGAGAACACCAGGGGACCACAGAGCACACTGTGGTTTCTCTGTCATCGTCTCAGTAGATAAACAGGAAGGCGAATTTTCCCTCTCTGTGACACCGTGCCTTATTTCCTGTTTCTTCAGTAGTATTTTTTTCTTCTGTGTAAATTGTATGTCGTGGGCAGGAGGGGAGAAAAAGGCAGTCACTTCTTGTAAAGGGCTGATAGCAGTGGGCTGTATTTGGCTAAGTGACGCAAGTACAGGGGTTTGCCCAAAGGTTCTGTGACAGTAAGGACGCACAGCTCAGTGCTATACTCTCTCGGCCAGGGTGCGATGACCTTTTCATTAACCGAGTGGAAGATTTTCTCCCCTGCTGCTCCCACACCAAAAAGACTTTCAATTGCTCACGTAGAGTTTGCTCTACTTGTATGATCTCTGAAGGTGATGATCAGTAGGAAAGATACTCTATAGACCTTGTTTGGGTAAATGCATATGTCATGCAAAATGTAAGATTGTGGTGCCTCAGTCAGTTTGTAGTGTAAATTCTGTGCTTGAATCAGTGTTCATGGGTTAATGTTGAAGGACAATGCACTTTCACAACATTGTTTACCTTACAGTAAAGTAGATAAGTCTCGCTGTAGATTTAATGTGTTTTTGCTGACTCCAGAGCAACCTTTCGTCTTCATTAATTTTAGTTTTATAAAGTTTGATTTGACAGTTACATGTCTCTCTAAGACAATGAAAATGCAAAACAACAATCCAATATTTCACTTGCGTTACCAGCTGGTTATAAGGTTACTCTGGACAAAAAAAAGGAGCATACCACTGTTTTAGTCAAGTTTTAAGAAAATTTTAAAAGTGTATTTTAGCCTACATCCCTGCCAAAAATTTCTGCAGAGTACTTTTATTTATTCTTTTTTTGAATATACATTTTTTCCTAGCATGACCTGTCACACAGCTCCTGTACAATATATAGAAATCGACATGCCAAGCCTTGCTTGAGATAGACAATCCATCATAATAATAAATGTCTACATTACATTACATTCATACATGTTGATGCTGACACCTACTGAACTGAATGGAAACTACTGTCTACCATGAAATTAGAAACAAGACTGACAGTCTACAGCCACTCTAGCAGCTCTGTGAGGCTTTACAGTACAGCCAGCATGCTAACATGCTAACAGTGGCATCCAAGGGGTCTTGCCTCGTGTACATGCTGATGCTTATCAGGCATAGTGTTCACTAAGTTCTTACTTTAGTGCGTTAGCTCATGTTTGCTAATGTACACAAAGTACAACTGAAACTGATGGGAAAGTCCGTGGGTTTGCTGAAGTGGAAAAGTCTGTTACCAGATTTCATGGAATGTGGATTAATTTCACTCAAAACTACAAATGTCAGCCATATAATGGTGCCAAATAAGAGTCAGGGTATCATCAAAGTCTGTCGTTTTTAAATTCTGGAGAACATACTGTACTGATATATCAGTTTGGACCAAAGAGGTGAACAAACCAGACAGTCAGTCATTGTCATCCATTCAGCATATACATTCAAGTAGATCTTTAATGCTTTGGAAAATGGTCAGCGGTAAAATCTTAGCCCAGTTGCCAGAAGAAAATGTTGGCATTGTACCTTTCTGCAAACCACAAGTACGTTACATTTGTGCCTTTCATACGTAGGCTATCATATCAACATTTCTAAAGAGATGTAGTTCTGATTACATGTTTATGAGCTGACTTTGGCTTCAGTAGGTCTAGGGGATGGTCGATGTCGTGACCTAAAGGCGAAATGGCTGCCAAGGATTGGCAAAGATTGACAAAAAACTGTGTTTTAGCAAGGCATTGGGGCATTTCTAGCTGTGATTATGCCACAAAGACGTAAAGGTTTTAGCAAGACATAAGCTGCTTTTCCAACCATGATTATGCCACCGAAAGTGGTGTTTTTTAGTAAGACATCGATGTTGTTTCAAGCCGTGATTGTGCTCAAAAAAGGGAGAACTTTAGCAGGACATCAGCAGCATTTTCAGTTGTGATTGTGCCACCAAAAGTGGTGTTTGTAGCGAGACATCATCATCGTTTCCAGCTGTGAATATGCCACAAAAGGGGGGGTTTAGCAGGACATTGCTGGTGTTTCCAGCTGTGACTGTGCTTAAAAAAATAGGGTTGTTTTAGCGAGACATCAACAGCATTTTTCAGTGATTGTGCCACCAAAAAGTTTTTTCTTTAGCAAGACATTTAGGTTGTTTCCAACCTTGACTGTGCTCAAAAAAGGGGGAGTTTTATCAAGACTTTTTTTTGCAAGACATAACCATCATTTACAGCCGTGATTATGCTACAAAAAAGGGGGTGTTTTAGCAAGACATCAGCTGCATTTCCAGCAACATCGTGCCACTATAAAAGCGTTGTTTTACTACCAAAACATTGACGTTGTTTCCAACCTTGATTGTGCTCAAAAAAGGGGGTGTTTTAGCAAGACATCTGCAGAATTTTCAGTTGTCATTGTGCCACCAAAACCGGGCATTTTAGGCTAAAACATGATCTTTCCTAAACCGTAACCAAGACGTTTTTGTGCCTTAACATCCACATATCCGTGGTATGAGGGAAAGTAAAATCTCAACATTTATTCTTGCGACTGGTTTGAAAATATATTCAGATTTGTGGTTCAAGCACTAAAACTTGCAAAAATACTTGCATGGAAACAGAATATGCTGCAGATATCATTTTAAATCATCATATCTAACTAACTCTAAGACCTTTCTGCTCTAACATCCTGTCGCTTTGTGTTTCCAGGAGAGTGAGAACCTGGAGAAGGAGAACGCTGCTCTGAGGAAGGAGGTGAAGCAGCTGACAGAGGAGGCCAAGTATCTCACCTCCGTGCTGAACAGTCACGAACCTCAGTGCACCGGTCTGGCTCTGCAGACCCCCGACCTCCTCTACCCTCCTCATCACAGCAGCTACCACCATCAGCACATCACTGTACCACACTACCAGCACTGACCTGACTGACTACTGAGGCGGCCTGAGGGCGTGCTGCGAACAGATGACTGACCTCAATGGAGAGAAAGACTGACTGGAGATGTGTCAATAAGTGTTGTTCAAAACTGAGGAGTATAACAGGCCAACATGTCTGCCAAACGATGACAGTATGGACCCCAAACTGTAACAAGCAGTGTTGAAAAGTATTTATTTGTGCTTGTGTTCATCTCTTTGCTTTTACCTGATTAATATCAGTGATCTGTGTGTGAACTTAAAGGTCCAGTGTGCAGGATTTAGGGGGGATGTCATGGCAGAAGTGGAACAGTAATAAATATGTTTTCTTTAGTGTTTAATCACCTGAAAATAAGAATCAATGTGTTTCCGTTACCTTAGAATGAGCTGTTTATATCTACATAGGGAGTGTGTCCTCGTCCACGGAGACGTTTCTACACTAGCCCAGAACAAACAAACCAAACCCTGGCGCTAGAATGGGCCATTCGCATTTTCGTGTTGGCCACCATATTTAGCAGCCCCTCCATTATGAGCAGCACCGGAAAAACAGTTATGTTTAACATGAAACTGCTTGATTTATTGTTTGGTTCCAGCTAAAATCACCAGGTCCATTAGTTTTGGTGAGGAGGAGACCTCTGTGGATAATTTGGCTCCTGGTGAAAACCTCCTGAATGTCTGGATCTTAAGTTATCGGAGAAAAAATGTGACACACATATTAGCAGTTGCTAGCGACCTGTCTCTGACGAGCTGAACAGCATCCAAGAAACACTGATTTGTGACATGAAATGACTTTATGCAGTGTTTTTATTAGTTTAAATCACCTGGTCCTTTTGTTTTGAAGAAAAGGAGACCTCTGCGCATAATTCGGCTCCTGGTAAATACTCCCTGAAAGTCTGTATCTTAAGTTATCAGAGAAAAAAGTGGAGCACACATTAGCAGTTGCTGGGCTAGCGACCACTTAATCACTGATTTGTAATATGAAATTGCTTTATTCAGTGTTTTTACTGGTTTTAATCGCCTGATCGATTTGTTTTGAAGAGGAGGAGACCTCTGCGGATAATTAAGCTCTCGGTAAAAACCTCCTGAATGTCTGTAGCTTAAGTTATCAGAGAAAGAATGCTAAGCACACATTAGCAGATGCTGGGCTAGCGACCGTCTCTGAGGAGCCAAACAGCATCAGAGAAACACTGATTTGTAACATGAAACAACTTTATTCAGTGTTTTTACTGGTTTTAATCACCTGATCCATTTCTTTTGGAGAGGAGGAGACCTCTGCAGAGAATTCGGCTCCTGGTAAAAACATCCTGAACGTCTGTATCTTAGATTATCAGAGAAAAAAGCTGAGCACGCATTAGCAAGTGCTGGGCTAGCAGCCTGTCTCAAACATGCCAAACAGCATCAGAGAAACACAGATTTTTGTGAAACTGCTTTATTCGGTGTATTTATATGTTAAAAAATCACCTTGTCTGTTTATTTTGAAGAGGAGGAAACCTCTGTGGATAATTTGGCTCTTTGTAAAAACCTCCTGAACGATGAACACTGCGAAAATTCTAACCAGGAGATAAGAATCTTCACCGATGGATGCCACTAAACCCCCCCCTTAAATCCTACACACTGCTCCTTTAAATGGCTCCATGAGTAGAATATCAACCAGTCTATGTTTACATCGGGAGAAAAAAAAAACTACTGTATGTTCAGGTGACTCAGACGATACAGTATTTTTGTAAATTTCTATTGTCATGGAGATCACCTTTTGTCATCCTGTCATGTTTTGAGTGTTTATTAATGTGTTTCAGTGTGTAAATGTAGATCGATAATGCTCAGGAGATTTTTTGACAGATTTGATTGTGGACAAAAAGAATGTATAAAGT